GGCTGGAGCGGGGGGAACGCAGACGCCCAAGCGCTGCCTCGCGCCCAACTACATCTGGGGTTTCTTCTCTAAGTGGATGCGACCGGGATCTTCCCCCCCATCCTTGCACGCTCGCAGTGCACGCTCAGAGTGTGCAGAGCTCCTCTACAGGGGGAGGACTCGTTAAGTCGGGCGGTGGATCCTACATCTGGGTTCCTCACCGTGGAAGAACTGTATTTATTGTGCAGTACAATCGAGGTTATGGGTAGTGGGCAGAAGGAGGGGGAGTGCTAATGGGAGCCAAGGAAGTGGGATACCATTATAGGGATCCCTCCACTGCTCAAAGTACAACCTCACAGCTCAGGGAGCTTGTATTTGCAGTGAGACAGAAGACCTCACATTAAAATTAATTTGGAGCAAGAAAGGGACTTAAAGTCTTCACACAGTAAAACTTGCCAGGACAGGCCAAGGAGGTTCCACTTAAGACAGCAAAATCTGCTTTGTATGGCACTGCTGCATGCCAGTTTTGGGGTATCTGTGTCAGCATCCTGCCAGAACCATGACTTTTTTCTCACACCGATCAGAGGCTGACAACTTGCAAGGCAACAATGCATTCAGTGCCTGTTTAGGAGCCAGACAAGAACAAGGAGGCTTGGATGCGGAGCCAGGCAGGATGCAGTCAGTCAGGTCACCAGCCAGAACATCAGAAAAGGTCTAGGGTGACAAAGACCCCAACGCTTAGGTAAATTTCATGCAGTAGTCCAGTGCTTAGACCTGGCTGATGGCCCTTGCTTGTCTAGAGGAGTATGAAGCTCAAGTCAAAGAGAAGAGATCACAAACTCCATCCATCACTTGGCATTAGATAGCCTGACTTTAAGTGAAGTCAGGAAGACTGTCACAAAGGCTTTGTAGTCTTCCATTTACAGTACTGATCTGGTAGGAATAAAGACTTCAGTCCTCATTTCTGATCCAATCGTTACCTAATTATTTTACACACAAAATGCATCAATGTTTATTTTTACTTTCTTATGTGCCAGCTGGGAGTTGTATATCTGCTAGTAAATCTAGGCCTAGGTCTCACACTTACCAATAGGAAACATGTATGCCTCACCTTATGCATAGACAGTCCTAATCTGAACTTAATATATGCATCTTTAATTAAAGATTTGGCACTTAATCATAGTTACCATGCAGTATTTCCTAGAAAACAAAGCTGATAAATGTATCAAATGATTCTATGTAGTCTTTTGACATGAAGTGGTTCAAGCTGCACTCAAATGTAATAAAGGAAGATAGTAAACTGATAATAATTGGTTGATTTTTATAGAGGATGTTTAAATAATGCATTTCTATGAGCTATCTGTAGCAAACTTGTTTATTCCTATTCTGATTTCTTACACTAGTCTTAATTAGAAGTCTGAAAGTGAACACTCGTATATTCATGGTAACATTTTTCCTTAGGTTCCAATTTCTTATTTACTGGTATTTATACTTCAGATACATTCTGTGTGTGTAGGTACAGTACACAATGGGATAATGTGTCATAGAAGCTGCAGGGTTTGTATTGCTTTATGGATTTGGGATTGTAAAACGTAGCATAAAATAAAAGTTAAAGCCTTCTTTACCCACAGCTGTAAACACGTGCACATATATCAGCAAATTGGAAAGGCAAAAGTTTTACTTTGTTTTCACAGATCAAATGTTTTAAATAAATAGACAAAACCAGTAAGATGCCATTCATACTGTGTAACATTTAGAAAAATCAATAAACTGGAGAGTCAATTAAAAACATAAAGGAGAAACTGAACTGAAGCCAAATGGAAATACCAGCCAAACAATATTGTCATGATTCTTTTCTCTTTTGACTGAAGAACAGAAACATCCTTTTCAAAATCAATTCATGTAACTTGTGATTTGGCTTCCACAGCTTTGTGTTTTTCTTTTCCTGGAACAAGTGATATTCCTAAACATTCTTTTTTGTCTTTATTAATAAGGGCTGTGTGGTCATGAAGACACAAAGGAGATACACTTTGACTCTCTTTCCCATGCCATGTGTAAGTAATTAACAAACATGCAGATCAGTAGTGGTGCCATTTATTACTTTCTTCCCATCGAACAATAGCATTTGTTTCTTTTCCTGTCAAGTAAGCTATCTGACAACGTATTGATGTTTAAACTATTGTTTAAATGAAAACTGGAACTAGATATAGCTGATCGTTTAATGCGTACCTTTCAAGAGTGGTGTATCAGCATCTTCCCAGTGGAGAAAGTTAAAAACTGCAGCTACTTCTGGCCCAAATACATTTACTTTTTAAGTGGACTGCTTCAGCAATAATGTCTTATATGAAGGTAATAAAGACTTTTACTTAGCAAGTAAGAAAACTTTATCAGTGATGAGGAAATAAGTTGTAATGTCTTTCAGGATCTGAAAAGCAGTTGAGTTTTCTGGGTGGTGCGCCAAGAAGTTCCTTTGCAGACAGAAGTCCACATCTGTTGTAATGGGCTGACAAAGACCAATGTTCATGATAGGTTTTTTTCATTTTCTGAAATAATTTCCATTAAAGATTCATAATCAGCATATTCTCTCAGAGTTTGTATCATTTCATCTAGCTTTTCTTCTCCTAGCATGAAACACTCAATATGATGCACTGATCTGCTTATCCTGTGGTCAGTAATACGGTCCTGTGGAAAGTTGTATGTTCTGATCTTCTCTGATCTTCCTTTAGTCCCAATCTGTCAAACAAGAAGAATCAATTTACCATCATCATTTTATAAAAAAGATGAACTATTGATTATGCATTTAAAGCAAAAACTTTCTCTTCCCATACTTAATCAAAATATGTTAGTTACACAGTACTCAGATCAGTTCAGTAGTTGCAATTAGATCTTTAGAATGTATATACTACTGAAATGTTAAGTCCGGCTAATAGACAACCTTTACTGCTGAAGTAGAATGTGATTTTTTTGCCTCATGTAAGTCCTCCCTGGGCTCATGTTCCTCTATGTTTCCATTTACTATTTGCAGTTCAACACAGGAATTACCCCAATAACCTATGCTCATAGAGAATTATATCTTCTAATTCTAGTTTTCACTGAGTGCAACTTACCTGAATCTTTCGAACACTGTTTCTCTTTTTGGTTTCTTCTTCCAGTTTGGCGTTGTACAGTTTAGCACATAGCATTTGCATAGCCTTCTCTTTGTTTCTAATTTGAGATCTTTCTTGTTGACATTCAGACACGATCCCTGCCAAAAATACCATGATATTTAACACTTAACATTAACACATACTTTTGCAATTTCTAGAAGATTTTTACCATGTTTCAATAAGCTGCTTCTTTCTTCAATACATATTTTGGATTGGGAATGTAGAAGTCCAGGCTTATTAACGTTCACTGATATATTTTCAGAGAGAAGTGCAGGCTGAGTTCTACAGGTGCTCTGACCCATACGGCAAGAAATTTGGACAACAGGTAGATAATGAAATAAAAGATATATGGTGTGACTGACTTACAGAAGACACCTTTAATAATTGCAACTTTTCAGAATTTAAGGAGCAATAAAATACATGAGATGAGTATATAGAATATGACCAGAATATACACGTGGGCACAATTTTCTTTTAAAAAAATGAAGGTGTAGTTTCTCCCCTCAAAACATATAATTCAAGTTAAGATGAGAAATGAATAGCCTAAGAAAGGAGAAGGGAGAAGAAATACATGCATAAAACAGCAAAAGCTATTTCTTATTTGGATTTATTTTAAGTAACTCTCATAAGATTACAGTGTGCTTTTCTGAGATTGAATAGTATTACTTTATGAAAAGACTTGTTTACAAATAATTCTGATTGCAGTGAAGGTTTATAAAAATAGCTAGGATGAGAGAAGTAGAAGTAACAGGACAATTGTAAAGGAAAAGAAATCAAAAGGAATGAGGAAGGGAAAGGTGGAAAAGCAAAAAGTCAGGAGATAAAGTGACACAAAGCCCTCTATGAACAATCTCTAGTGCATAATCACAAAAAAAATGTGCAAAAGAACGTAAGATTTCTGTAATGAATACTAATAACTGCCTTCAGTAAAAAAAATAAGATAATTTGCTGTTTTGTTTTGGGTTTTTTTGTTTTGTTTTAGGTTTGGTTTTTTTTCTCCAAACATGCAGGAAATCCAAACTTTTTGAATCTGGAAAACTTTTTTTGTCTTCAACACAATTCTGTCCTCTCCACTGTTTACCTTCTGCTTTGCTGAGGTGATGCACCAAACGTAGAATGGATTAATATCTTCAATAAAAATGAAGAAATCGGTGGCAAAAATCTGGATACGTGAAGATAAAGAGCACTTGAGATTACCCTGCGGTTGTAAAACCTGACTAATGTTTGTGGTAGAGGAGAGGAAAAGTTAAAAAGCATTGAAAGTCAAGGCAGCTGTTGTAGATTGCTCAAAAGGAAGTAAAAAGCTTAACAATGGCAATTAAGAAAAAAAAATACGATAGGTAAAATCAGGTAGTATTTGAAGGTGTATCTTATCACTCCTGTTTCCTAACCTATGCTGTGAGGGTGGGCTTCCTAATTATGCATGTAATCTATGGGAAAGAAGCCAGCAGACAAATGGAAACTTAACAATTTCTCTAGAATAAAAAGCAACATTTTAATATGTAAATAAAGCAATCTCTCTTTCAGAGACTAGTCAAGAGAAGGCAATAATCAGATTTTAACCTATTTTGTTTTTTCAGTTTCTTTTCCATTATTTGAAAGCATAAATATAACTTTTTTCATGGAAACTGATCTGGACACTTTTAGAGTGTCATGCTCCATGGCGAAACGGATAGCTTACCTACTTAAGTCAGTAATCTTCACTATGACAAATTGGAGTGGATACACGATGGTGCATTTAGACTACTATAAACACACATGAAAACTACATGAAAACTCCGCTCTACTGTTGTCCAGGTTTGAAACTAAACCTATTGTTTCAAAAAAAAAAAAAAAAAAAAAAAAAAAAAAAAAGTTCTGACAGCAGTTTTGCAATGTTGATCTTGTACTAAGGTAAAAAAAAAACACCACCTGTTGGAATATGAACTATCCGTACAGCACTGTCTGTGGTATTGACATGCTGGCCTCCAGCTCCAGTAGCTCGCTTTGTTTCTATCCGTAGATCTTTTGGATTAATTTGCAGCTTCATCTGTCACGGAAGACAGGGGGAAAGAAAAAAAAGGAAAGAAAGAACAAATTTATGTTGTTTCTTTCTAGATAGATTTCAGACATATAAAGTTGGTTTATTTTATACAGCACGTTCAGGCAAGATCAAACTTTTTAATGTTCATGAGTGATAGCTAGCTTCCACTTGTATTAACAAATCCTTGTAGTCAAATTGGAATGCGACAAGATGGAAGCTGGGAAATCAAACAAATAGTAGCCTAAGGCATAACCATCCCTTAGCACAGATTTTCCCCTCTTCTGAAAGCTCTGTACCCTCTTCCAGAAGGGTTAACCATTGTTTGAACTTGACCGGATGGTTTTTAGATAAAAAACATACTCCCTTTGCTGGCTCTGGAATGGGTGGGAGGAAGGAGCAATACAACTTTGGGAGATAATAGGAAGGAGTAACATCTTTGACTGTTTGCTAGGTCAACATGAAACAAAGATCAACCAAAGCTTTAATTCTTCGCCAGTTGTTTTTAACTAAGCAAACATGGCGAGAATGAGTTATCACCTATACACTTTGGGAGGGAAAAGTGAGGACACCACAAAAACGAGGAAGAAAAGGTGCTAAAAGAAATCTCTATGAGCTCTGTAAAGTAAATCAGTCTTGTTACTTTGCAAAAAAAGTAAAGCCTTTAAAAAATGCAAGAGACAGAGTGAATTTTCAAGTCACAGTGAAGCAAACTGCCAGTGACTTTCTTGAGATCATGATTATGAAAAAGCACAGAAATTCTTTATTTCACTCCCTAGACAAAAATAAACAAACAAATATGATTTAGCTTAAAATTAACATTTTTAAAATATCATTAAGAGAGAATAACAAGAGAGACAGAAAACACTGGTATCAACAATACAGGATGTAAAAACATTGCTCATAGTGAAGTCTGTTATACTAAAAGATAAACATTACCTCAGTGGGTTGGGGTAATATTGCAACAGTCATTGTGCTGGTGTGGATGCGTCCTTGTTTTTCTGTCTTTGGTACCCGCTGAACACGATGCACTCCTCCTTCAAATTTCATGTACTTGTAAGCCTCAAGACCTGCTATACTGGCAACGGCATGCCTTAGGCCACCTTAAATACATAAGAAAACCAGTTGTAAATCTGTAAAAAAACCTGTTGGTTCTATGCTGTATATTTCAAACACTGTATCTAGACATCATTGTCATTTGTTTATTAAAATTATGAATTTACCATTTAAATACTTAATCACACTCTCTATTTGAGCTGCAGCCACATCTGTGACATTCAGGAGAGCTTAAGTTAGTAGTGACAACAGTGTGCCAGCAGCACTATAGTGCTTCACATGAAATGACCAAGAAACTAGTTCAAAAGACAGGTATTTAGATTATATCGCTTCAAATCAAGTATTACCAACACAGGTTTAATATGAAGTTCAGCTAAATCCAATGATAGTTCAACAAACCCTTTACCCTGGCAGACATATCATAGGTATGTCAAATATTACCCTGTCAAAGGTTAGCTCTTACTATGTGCTTGCCCCTTTCAAATAATGTGTTCCTCTCTATTCTGAAAGCTCACGTGCACAGAACAAGGGCTTGAGTTTGCAATCATTTATGTGGCATCTCACATCCGGATTCAAAGTAATTACATTGTGTTGACTGAAAAAAAAAAGATTAGTGTGTCTGACAGACTGCATATCCTAACATCCTTTCTTTTCTCATTTCTTCTTCAACATTTCATTAACAAAGGAAAAAAATGCTGACGATAGTATGAATATAGGTAGAGTTCCACATCCAATCTGAGCTAGGAGAAGCAAGCTGCACATGGGCCCACCTACTGATCCATACCCACTATGATACATGCATTACCACTACAACAACATGTCAGTAAGCAAAATGTGCTAGCTTTACTCAAGCAGCATCAATAACAGTAAGCCTGCAGATCTGTTAATGCAGACAGACTTAGCAAATCTAGCCTGCTGAGAAACATGGCTAGCAATCTGTCAATCAAAACCCCAAATCCCTGTCACTGGTTGGGCATGTTTTGGATTGCAGTTTCACAGTTGGCTTAAGATGATTGAACCTCTTGCTGCTGGAAGGAGGTCCTGGTTTTCTCACTGCCACCATTAGTAGCCACACAGTTCTGCCTCCACCCCTCCATAAGCATTTCTCCTCTTGTGCTGAATTACATTAAAACTAATCGGGGGTGGGGGTGGGGATGGGGGTTGGGAGGGAAGAGGGCTGTGGTATTTTCCAGTTGGATTGACTTGGTGATGAGACCGCAGAGACGCATAATCACAAATGCCAATGCAAAGAAGTCAGCAGTAACATAGAGACAGCAGCCTGATCTTCGTGAAACAACTTTATACACTAACTGGATTAAACTAGAACTAACAAACATGTGTCACTGCCTCAGTTTGCTGTGTAAACCTATCAATCCCCATTTTTGCAAAGACACTGTTCCATGAGAAACAGTGAACCAACTTCACAGCTCATCATCACCAGAAGATCCAGTTTTTCCAGCTACTTGCATTCAGCCCCATGTTGCTGCTTATCCTATGCTATCTCTAAGGCTCATGAGAACTGAATTAACACATCAACTAGGCAAAAAACTATCCCAGTCATAAAAAGCAAAGCCTTTGCCACCAGTTTAAGTGAAAGGTCACCAAAACAGACAAAAAAAAAAAGAAAAAGGCAGGACTGCTCAGAGAGGCAAGGCAGAGAGGCAATGAGACCATAAGGAGAAACATGTCCTTTTACTGACATCAAGCTGTTAAACTGATTATCTGTGAAATTTTACTTGAAAACTTTCATAAATAATTACGTCTCTTATCTCTCCTTTAAGAGTCTCCACAATTCCTCCACTTTGTTCATTCATCATCCATTACAGACGAGCTACACCCAAACATCCCATTTCCTCATATAAATCTGCAGATGACATTATCCAGATAAATTCAAGGTATTCTAGATTAAGCCTCAAGAATAGTTTTAATTATATTCTCTGCCAAGGGATTCATAATAATGAACAGATTTTCAACCTGCCAGCAAACTGATGTAGAAACACTAAAAACTCTAAGCAACTCAGCAGAACAGCATATCCAAATTAGAAGTTCAAGTAATCTGCATTTATAAAAAAAAAATAAAGCGAAAACAACATATGTGCATCACTTTCTGAATCTTCTTCTGCCAACCACTTAGTTTCATTTCTACTTTTTGAAACTACTGAAAGACAAATTTTATTTTTTAGCACTTTAGTATTTTAATAGTACTTCTGAAGTGGAATTTCTGTATTTTCTCAAACACAGAAGCTGAGGAAAATTGTACTCAGACATTTAAACAATCTTCCATTTCTAAAATAAAATTAGTGCAAGTTAGCTTCCTGTAGTCTGGAAATTCAAGTGTCAAATGAATGAGCATTTTGACTTAAATTAAAAAGTTACAAAGATTAAGTATTTTCATTACTGACCTATTTCACTGGGAAAGTATTCTAATATTTCAAATTTCCACTTTTTATAGGCAGCATATCGTTGATACATATCAAATATCTCCGAGGTGAACAGCATGGCTTCCTGCCCTCCAACTCCAGCGGTTACTTCCATGACAAGATCACTCTTGTCTGTTTCTTCTGAAGGAATCAAAAGCAATACTATCTGTGAATACAAAAACACCCAGCTAAGACTTCTCTCTGACACTGCTATCCAACGAGACAGTAAAAAATGCTGTAATCGATCTAGGCTGCATTCTTCTGCACTAACTTGCTGGTTGCTGTGAGGACAGGCTTTTCATGCCTCTTGCAGTGAAGAAGGAGCAGTCAGGAAGAGGTGGGGAGGGATGTTCCCTGTGTTTGTTCACAGCTGTTGGAGCTACATCGGTCTCTTGCACGACCAACAAAACTTTACAGGGTTTTTTACCCATCGGGAGCACCGCACTGTTTGGACACTACAGTATACACACTGGTTCTAGCAAGCCAGCGGAGTCTCTCCCTTCCTATCAGATTCCCTTTCAACCTGGTCTCCACTGCAGAGCTAAGAAAGTAAGGATGTTCAGGAGGACAGTCCAACAACAACCGACCTGTATTATTCATTTCTTTATGAAAAAAGGGAAAGCCAGCCTTATCTTGATCTGTAGAAGACACCCTAGAACCAAAAAACTGTATCCCAATTTTGTAGGCTGGATCAAAACTCTGGATGATTTGCAAATGCTTTTCAGTCACCTTCCTTTACTAGCATTAAGGTGATGTGTTGTTCCACAGACTTCTTTTGTCAGAATCGTAAGTATTTACAAAAATATGTATAAAGTGACTCTTGAATTGTTGTTAAAGGAACAAAGATTGTGACAATACCAGCTTCTGCTTCACCAGTAACATTCAGAATATGTAACTGTTTAGAGAGTACGTAAATGTGAAGATCATTATTTTTAAGTTAAACAACATACGTAGAACCTATATAAGGTAGAATCTAAAGTAGTTACATAGCATTAAGCCTTTTCCCCCCCCTTTTTTTTTTTTCAAAACCGCTAGTGTGGGTGATACTACACAAGTCTAATGTTTCCAGTAGATAAAAAAAGCCAGACATCCATAAAGGTACACTCAGGCAAGAAAAACTATAGCACCTACTTATAAAGATGTATTGATTCAAAAATTTAGGAAGAAGCAGGCTTAGTTAATTTAAAGAATGGCAAGGAAATAGAGGCTTTTAAAGGGTATTCTAACCTGCTGTTTCAGTTCAGCTATCTCTTCTTCACAGGCGGCGATTTCTCTTTCTGCAAGTTTCTGGAAATCTTCACTCTCATCTGGAATATTTTATTATGGTTAGTCCTCAGACTTGTACCAGTGTCACTGTCAAAAACCTTCTCAAAAATAACTACACGAACAACTTACCCTTAAAAAAAAAAATAAAAAAAATTCCCCAACAAAACCAAAAAACAACCCCAAAACACAAACAAAAAACCCCAAAACAAATCCTAAATCCATCCACCCCCCCCAACCCATTAAATCTGTCAGAAAATGAGGTTAATAATATGATCTGCAACAAAGATACACAGTACATATTAAGAGTATTTCCAGATATTGTTCAGCTGTGAGACACTGGAAAATCTGGAATACTAGAAGTTCCATTTAAACATAAAACAAGCCAAAAGAAAAACAAACAAACAAACCCCCACCAAAAAAAAAAAAAAACCCAAATCAAACCACAACACCCAACCCAACAAAAAAGCCCTAACAATTGCTGTGCTGGTGGTCAAATAGTGGTATAGGTTGTTCAAAAAGGCTGAGGAGTCTCTCGCCTTGGAGATATTCAAACCCCAACTGGACACAACCCTGAGCAACCTGCCTGAGCAAGGGGTTGTCTGGGCGATCTCCAGAGGTCCCTTCCTACCTCAGCCATTCTGTGACGCTAAGAAATTACTTTCTGTATTTCAGTGTGATAGGAACATCCAAGGATTTAAAGAGCATAGCAACCCCACAATAGAAACTCTTTATTAAAAGGACTTTTACCCCTACCATTGCATGTAATAATTTGAAGATAGTTAGTAGTTATTTAAAGTATTCTATCTCTTTCACTTTATTCCAGAGCAGCTGCAAGTCTTCCAACACATCAAAAGGTATGGAAAAACTCATGCATAGTAAGAAGAATTTGTAATTTTAAAGTCTTACTTGACTGATCAATACTAATGCTTTACAATTAAGGCTTGTTTTTCTGTGGTACAGTTTTGATCTGTTAAAATGTTTTGATTTTTTTTCCCTGGTCATTATCAAACATCATACACACTCCAAAAAAAAAACCTTTTTTTTTTTTTTTACATCAGCATCTTAAGCAGCCTCCAATCTGCACTGATTCAGCAAACTTGCCCAGAAGAAAAAAAATATTACCCCAAAAAGGAGGAAATGGTACACACAATAGAAAAGGGAGAACTAGGGTGGGCACAGGGACACCTAACTGTACAGTTAGCAGCAAAAGAAGAAAACCAAAGATGCTAGACTCTTTTTTCTGTGTACAGCAAGCTTTTAAGTGCATTCAGTGGAGACAGGAGGTGCACTCTTATAAGAAAACCACACCTTTTCAGCACTATAACTGCATTTAGTCACTAGCATGATGTTAAATCAAACTTTTTGACTTTACAATTTAGGTTTAATATTGGTGAATTACACCCCCCTGCCCCTTCCGTAAGAAGAAAAGAAAAAAAGATAATCATGTGTAAATTGTTTTCAACATCAAGTATGCTCTACCTATAGCTGGCTAAGAGCATGCACAGTTGACTTCCCGACTGTAACTCTTTAAACACATAAGCTTCATCATCTCCAATTCTCTGTATTTTTTTACAATAACTACTGACTGATTATGTGCTAGTCATTAAGGCTAACAGAAGGAAGGATAAGAATTAAGAAATTACAAATCTGTTTGAGTCAAACCAGGTATTGATAATGCAATTATTATGCAGTTAAACAACCTAATACAACAACAATTAATATCAGTTGCATACTTTGAGATGCAAATGTAATAGTAATACAGGCTCTAAAACCAGTTAAAATAATATACAGAAATATTTCAAAGGATGAACTACAGAAGTGCTCAAAGTTATTAACTAAGTCCTTGTGACCACTTCACTTTGCTGAAGTTCCAAGCCTGGTTCTGATGCCACTGGCTTCTTCAGCAGGTTCTGAAAGGAGAAAAAAAAAATCTTCCATTCGATTTTATTCAGTCAGTTTGGGCCAATGATTAGTTTCTTCAAAGGAGCCATTTCTCCTTTTGCAGTCTGAGGTGGGAGAAAATGAATTGGATAAAAAAAATGAAGAAAAAAAAAACATTTACCTTTAGGCACTGCCTGCCATCTCCACTAGTCAGAGTAACTTGAGTACAGTGAACACTTTTGATTATTCACTATTTAGCAAAGTAGGGATCTAGGGAACATTTCATGTCCTTAGTGAGTGCTTACTGATCCTAGAGTACTCCTTGTCTGGGTTTCTAACTGCTATCAAACTGAAGTCTGATTCAGGGTTACAAATATTCACTATTTGGCAACTCTAAAAGCGTGCAGCTTCTAACGCAATACAAAGTTAAACCACAGCGTGGGGGCAGCACGAGCTGATGCTGTGCCCTACCTCCAAGAAAAAGAGAGATAATAAAAAAGAAGTCTTCTCTGCCGGATTTATCATCATCATCATTATTTTACATGACACACGATGCTGTCTGGCTGCTCCTCCTTCAAGCGTCAGCTGACACGCACCTGCGCCCC